GCTATTTGAGTACACTTCTGTCTCTCTCTCGCACTACCATCTCTCTCAAACACACATAAACACACTCATTCTCATGCTGTCTGTTTGTCGGCCTGTCTGTCTCTCTGTCTCACCCTCACGCTTCGTTCCAACCTGTCTCTCTCTCTCTCTTTGTGTCAGTCTTGACATATGTTATCTGTCTCTCAGTGTCGGTTTCGCTTTAACTCAGGGCCTTATTGTTAGGTGAGTATCACAGAAAGCATCCGAATACAACTGGATACGATAAAGTAAATCATCACCTACTGTTTGAAAATTAAAGGACAAATACACCAGTTTTAAAAGTACAGTTGAGAATATAGTGTACTTGTCACAAGGAGTACTACACACATTTTATACAGAAAGAAATGTAGAATCCAGTATTTTTGGACATTGGATAGGGACTTAAAGTCAAGGGATCTCTGCCTCTGCTGCTTCAATTCTTTTAAAAAATGTGTCTCTTTTGAGTCTGTTTTGCTTGCTTTTGCAAAGTGTAAGCAATTCTTTCATGTGTGTTTCATTCGGCCTGAAACAATCACTCTACACAAAATCTTGTGATGAAACGACAGTAATTACACAGAAACTTAATCCAAGAACTTCATCAAGTAATAATGGAGTTCAGGAGGGATCTCTAACAATGGTAGAGGAAAGCTCAATCCAAAAGGTGGTCCAAGGTGGACCATAAAGACAGTATGGGGACAACAAAACGAGCTATAACACATCATCATTTACATATTATCGCCTTGTAAAGTTTTTATGGCTAATGTGTTAGCAAGCTTATTTACACATCCAGCAGACAAAGCAGCACATTAGCATTCATCTGGACTGGCCAAATGACAAATGTAGGTCCAATTTTAACTCTCCTGAGGGGAATATCTGTGTCTTTAGCTGATAAATTCAACAATGTGTTCACCAGCTAGTCGCTAACTTTGCCTGCCAGCTGTGTGGTGCTGGGCGAGAAGTACAGTGGGTTTATTAGATTGTTTTTTAGCTGAAGGCCACCTGCTGCGTTTGGGACTGAGAGTGGAGTTTGCAGGGTGAAAAACACAAAATGGTGAGCTAAAAGAGGCTAAAAGGCTTTAGAGATGAGGGGAACTGCGAGCTGGAGATAGTTCTCTGTGGGTTTGTCATTATGAGTGAGCCCGTTCACATTACATTTGACCCATTGTTAACATAAAAATATTGATTGATGCAGCTTTAATTAGGTGTTAATACCTCGCACACTCCCTCACTTTATAGTTCTGACTTGTTTGTCGTTTCCTCTTTATTATGGCTGTCTCTCTCCCTCCCTCCCTCCCCCCCTCTGCTTTTTCTATCCTCTCTTCCCCATCTCCTCCCCCCATCCCCTCGTTCTCTCCCCATCACTCTCTCCCTGTAAGTAAATCAATGAACATACACTTTATGCCATCTATTGATCCTTTCATATCTATCTGTCCTCACACCCTCCTGTTTTTGCCCTCTCTGTCTCTCTCAGTTTTTCACTCTTCTTTTCCCCCCAACATCCCTTTTTCTCTCACCCCTTTCTGTCTCCCCTTTGAATTTATAATCTCTTTCTCTCCCTCTCTCTCTCTCTCTCTCTCTCAGTCAGTCCCTTTCTCTTTATATCTCTCGCTCTGGGACATCCTATTTATATGGCTGGCACCTTCATGCTCGCACTGAAGTGTGTGTGTGTGAGTGAGAGAGAGTGTTTGATGTTGGTCTAAGTGGTTAACATAATATGAGTCCTCAGAGAGATGACGTTCCCGCACTCACACACACACACACACTCACGCACAATTTTAGGCTTTTTGGTAGGCTTCTATGTGAACAAATTGTGCTTTTTAGTATTCTCTAGCTTGTGCAGCAGATCCATGTATTATCTATCAATTGCATTCTCCCACTCTGCCACTCTGTCCAAATACACACACACACTCACAC